GATTTTTGGTGTTCTAGGGAAGGGATCGGTGCAAACAAGGTGAAGGTCGCGCCTGAGATCTTGTGTCAGGTCGTGATGAAGCTCGTCGAGCAGCAGGGCGGCAGCATCAACTCGCGGTTGCTCGGGAGAGAGCTGAACAAGATTAGCGTCGATGAAGACGGTACGACAGCCCTCAGTGTCATCAAGGAGGTGAGGCCAGGCGAAGAACAGGACTACTGCCACGCTGTGCGGGGGAGGGGGGGAGTGCTTGAAGGCACCCAGACGTTGGGAAATCACGTCGTGATTGACTATTTAGAATCGTTGCGGCCATTGGCTTGTTGCGGTAAGAGAAATTCGGTGTCGATGACGAAGGAGACGATCGTGTTCAATTTTGGCGATATGGATCAACTTGTTTATGCATGCGAGCTTCGTTCCCATGGGAGACACCGGCAAGCGGTCCGAAAAGGAGCTTCTTCGCAGGCCGCCTGTATTTGGTCCAACCTGCAGGGCACGCAAGACGTCACTTGACGCGCTCCGCTCTTTTTTATCCCTTGGTGTGTGTGTGCACTGCACCGAGTATTACGCGAGTTTGGCTGGGTATTGCTTAATTTCATCGAAGTTTTTCGTCCATACAAACTCCAACTTCCCTCCCGCTTTTGTCTCTGGCTACGCTCCATTTGGCAGGAACGTGTGCATTAACGAATTCTGCGTGTGTGTCTCCGTCTCTGTCTGTGTCTATCTGGCTGCTTATCCATCTGGCCCTCCATTATTACCGGGACGCGGTGTGGCACGGTACGGCGTGCGGTACGGTTCGGTTCGATTCGATTCGGTTGGTTGGACAGAGGTGGCAGGTCCTTTCGAGGTTCGTGTTCGAGCACAGCGATATGTTCCAGGCCATCCTCCCTGTTAGCAACCCGACCAAGACCAAGGAGTACACCATCTCCAAAGTCGACAGCCAGGTGTGTGCAGCTGGCAGCAGCAGCAGCCATCGGGCAGCCTACGGTAGAGCGGGGTTGCTGCTGTAGCTTTTGTGTGTCTTTCTATCTGCCACTGATGCTGCGTGGGCGACGTCGCTGCGACTGATAGTCTACGTTACCGCCTTTTTTGCTACTTCTTCTAGTATACTCCACAGATTTTTTTTTCCTTTTTCTTTGTTCTTGCTTCCTGTTGTTGTTGTTGTTGTTGTTGTTGTTGTTGCTGCTGTTGCTATTGCTGTTGCTGTGGCGTTCGAGTTGATGACGTGCCCTGTTTTTGGCCAAGCCCCCGCCTAGGAGACTGTAATTGTTGTCTGTCTGCCTGTCTGCCTGTCTCCAATACACCCCTCTATGTACGGCTTTGTTCGCACCAGAACTCGATGAAGTCGCTCAAACTTGGTGAGGTGATGGACGAGTCAGTGTCGGACGATGATGAGGCGTACAGCGATGATGAAGAAGAGCTAGAGGACGAAGAGCTAGGGGAGGAGGAAGACATGGGCGGCGGAAGTGCGTGGGATGCCGACGAAGAACTAGTGACGGAAGAGAGGTGAGGGCGGTAGATTCTCCGCCGTGGCCGCAAGCGCTACTTTAGAAAATAAGTGATGTCGCGGGATGAATTTTTATTATCGTTTGCTTGTCTCCTCAGCCATCTGGTACTTCCGTGCTCCCACCTTGTTTACTTACTCTCCCTATACACGTCGTCCGTGTGTGTTCATGTGTCGGCTTAGCCTGTCTGGGGAGGTGATACCGCAGCTCAAGACACGCCTTCGGGAGAGGGGTCTGCCCGTCTCCGGCAAGAAGTCCGTCCTCATAGCACGCTTGCTGGACTCCATGGCTGGCGATTCCCACCCGCCGTCGGCGCCGCGACGACGCGGCGACCCTCCCACCGTCGGCGCTGGCGCTACGCCCGAAAGCGAGGCTGTAGTAGTACTACCAGGTGTGGGTAGGGGGCTTGGTCATGGGGACGCCAACGCGGCGGACGGCGGCGGCGGCGGTCGCGGTTTGCCGGGAGGATGGGCGGCAGCGGCGGCGGAGGCCTTGCTCGCGGGCGACTCTTCTTACTTGAGACTAAACATGCCTAGCGGTGGCGGCGGCGGCGGCGGCAGCGGGGGGAGATTGCAAGGCCAAGCCGGAGGCCGGGGAAACGGCGGAGTAGTAGGCGGCGGCAGCCCTGCCGCCCGGCCTCCGGGGTTTATAGCGGAGAAGGCGGCAAGGGCCCGGCGGAAGAACGGGCACGCGGCCCTGGTGGGCCTGGTTTCCAGGTTGCTGAGTGAAGACGCGCGGGCGCCGGGGTTCAGCGGGATCACGTCCTCGAGGCAGCTCGGACGGCTGTTGGCGGCGCATCCCTCTCCGGAGAACCCGAACGAGACGGCGCTTACGTGCCTCAAGTCGAGGTGGCCCTCTTTGATGACCTTCGTGAAGTCCTGCCCGGAGTTCACCGTGACCGATATCGGCAAGGAGAAGGAGTTCGGGGTGGTCCTGAACGAGAGGGGGGGGTGGGCGAGTCGGGGCGGCGAGGAGAGTAGACATCGCCCCGGCTCGGGTCAAGCCGTCGCGGCGGTGAACGGTAGTGACGGCCGGCGACAATAATAGTTTAGGAGAGTTTCGACGACACAGCACGAAAGAGTGCCCGTGGCGGAATTTTATTTGAGACACGTTTCATGAGAGACGAGCGAATCATCCACCCCTTTTTGTGTTGTGCGACGCGACAGACGTTATCGTACACGCTTGGTTGTATCTTCAGCAACGTGACAGACAGCTCTTGTCGGTTAATGGTTTCCGACGTTTGTTTAAGTTATCATGCGACCATAGCAGCTGCTGGTTCAACCGGTTGGAAGAGGGAATCGTGGCTGTCAATTCGGCGCAGGAACAGAATGTGGACGAACGGCCACTTCGTGTAAATAGAGGGTCTTCGATACATCGGTGTCAGTGAAGAGCTGTCTCTCGAACTTGTCTTTCCCTCTGAGTTTCCAGCACGGACACCGAGAGGTAAATTTTAACACCAAAAAGGTGGCTGTTGTACCTTCGTAACATTTGCCTGCATAAAAAAAGGGTTTTTTGTTATTTTCACATTAAAAACCGTTCCGGTCTCTGCTCAGTACCTTCTAATGTCCGCACTGGTCCAACTGACACGGACGCCTCCCGTTTTCACAAGTCGACTACCTCCAAGGGGGTACACCTTTCTACGTAGAACAAACAAATAATGGACCCCAAAAAATCCTCCAAGACGCGAATTGATACCCAACGCAAGAACAACTGACAAGGATACGATCGACCCCGGTGAAAAAGGGCGGGTGAAAAGAGGGTACACCAGTGTTTGTCGATGTGTTGGTTGTTGAAAATCAGGGGCTTAGGGCCTGTTAAGACTGTGTACAGCAGTCAAGAGCAGCAGCAGTTCCCTGATGGTTTTGCTTGTGTTAGATTGCTTGGAAATTTTCAGCGAACGTCAGATAGATAGATCTGCTAAAAGGAGGTCCTCACTAACAACAAGATGATAGCGCAGGTCAGCAGCCCTTTCTATCTGTTTACGTGATATTTCTGTGCTACGCACGGCGGTACAGCATCAGTGAGCAAGCAAGGTAACAGAAGCAAGCGTGTGCCACACCTCATTGACAGGTGTGCGGAGGTGCAATACTACTGTGGACGTGAGGCAACAACCAAACTAAATATGGAACTTGGTTCGAAGGGAAATAATGAGAAAAAGATGTTCAAATAAATCTGGTTGTATTGTTGAGCTGGGCAGAAAACAAACTGAGCTCCGGTGGGGGGCGAGCGCTTGGCCTGGTCCGTCAGCGTTTTTATCGATCACCGACAAACCACGAAGAACCTCAGTACCTGTCCGGAACCGTTCCGGAACCGTTCTTGGAACCAATACCTTTACTTTCTTTTATAAGAACAAAAGTACTCTGTTATTGTGTTGGAAACGTTCCGGGAACCTTTCTAACTTGCCCTGGACTTTTCCTGAGAATATTTCTGAGAGCCTGAGAACGTTCCTGAGAATGTCCAAAAACATTTTTTATTTTATTTATTTTTGCCTTCCGACAATTGCAGATGTACCTCAGAAAACTTGCACTTAATGTCTCATACTCTATCTACATGAATATTAAACCAATACGAAGTACAACAACATATGTAGTACTTATTTCTACTGTCATTTACATCGTACAAGTATCTCCTCTTCAACTTACCAATGACAATCCTGATGGTATCCTATATGCGTTCGTAAGCTTGCTAAAATACTACTGCGTTGATGTCCGCTTGTAAAAGCTGAAATCCAACAAATGCTTTGATCCATGCTACATCTCCGTGTTGGAAAAGCCCTTTCATCTCCGTTCATGATAACATCTTACCCTATTCTACGCAAATCTGTCACATCTACTCTCAAACAAGACGTCAACTTCAAACGAAAACGCGTTCTACGATGCGTCTACACTCCATCCCCATATCATTGGCGTTGACTGGTCCGAGGTCGATCTTGTTCGCCTGTTTTCGGCGTCTTGACGCCCGCGCAATGCGAGCTTGTACCTCTGCACTCGCCGAGATATGGCCACCTGTGTAGCCACCGAAACGATCTTCTTTCACACAAACCATTTACTACGGTATCTACTGCATCCATCCATCGGTCGGTGTATGCATCGTTCTACACACCTTTCCTGAAAAATGGTAGGTACAACAGTCGACCCCGCTTTAAGGACGCACATGGTCTTTCCCGAAAAAAAGCGTCCTTAACGCGGGGTTGCACCGTTAAAATTCAGGGGACGACAGATCACCATCCCCGGGGCCAATGGAGGCATGCTATACCTCAAACTACGCGTCTTTTGCTAAGGAAAGGGGGTGTGGTACGAAAAGTCAGCATCGCCGAGACGACTGGCAACCGTTTGTTGACGTCGAACATATTTGCAATACTTAAAATGAGATGTACAGCAGTCGAGGACGTGCTGAAAACATCTACAGCAGCATTACACCAGTTTGTACTTGGCCAACTAATGTACAGGTAGCACCCACAATTCAGGAACGCTTATTCCAGGTCCAGCCTCGAATTATTGTCGTGGGCTAGACTATATAAATAAACTCAGCGTTTGTTTGTCGTTCAATTTCTTTTGTCATCAAGTTTCTTATTTTCGTGCCGCCAAATCCTCTTTCTTGCTGAATTTCTTCAATCGGCAATTTATTATTTTCTCTGCTCACGAGAGCTGGCGGAGAGCACCATCAAGACCGTACAGCAGACAGCATATCGTGGTTCGCAATCTGTCTGGTGTGCTGTGCCAGAGCAGGAGCGCCAGAGAGCGCCAGAGCCGGCAGAGGGCCGAAGGGGGCGCCGCAAAAAAAACACCCTCCCCCCTCGCCCCCCCCCGGTGTTTGCCATCGGGGTTGGGTTTTCGTCGCTTGGCAACGACGTTGTAAAACAAGCCGCCCCCCCCGGTGTTTGCCATCGGGGTTGGGTTTTCGTCGCTTGGCAACGACGTTGTAAAACAAGCCGCCCCCCCCGGTGTTTGCCATCGGGGTTGGGTTTTCGTCGCTTGGCAACGACGTTGTAAAACAAGCCGCCCCCCCCGGTGTTTGCCATCGGGGTTGGGTTTTCGTCGCTTGGCAACGACGTTGTAAAACAAGCCGCCCCCCCCGGTGTTTGCCATCGGGGTTGGGTTTTCGTCGCTTGGCAACGACGTTGTAAAACAAGCCGCCCCCCCCGGTGTTTGCCATCGGGGTTGGGTTTTCGTCGCTTGGCAACGACGTTGTAAAACAAGCCGCCCCCCCCGGTGTTTGCCATCGGGGTTGGGTTTTCGTCGCTTGGCAACGACGTTGTAAAACAAGCCGCCCCCCCCGGTGTTTGCCATCGGGGTTGGGTTTTCGTCGCTTGGCAACGACGTTGTAAAACAAGCCGCCCCCCCCGGTGTTTGCCATCGGGGTTGGGTTTTCGTCGCTTGGCAACGACGTTGTAAAACAAGCCAATTCACTTCGTGAACTCGGCAACCAGGTTACCGTTTTTTTTTTTTACCTCCGTTTTTTTTTTTGGCGGTAACCATAATGGTGGTCGAGTAGATCATGTTGTGCGGGGTGGAGAACCCTCACTCCGCGCAAGGGGGATGATCGCACCACGTTGTGTTAAAATGGTCAAGCACCCTCGAGGCAGTTACACAGTGCTTACAACTGTCTCTGGAAGTGAAAGCACCAGAAAATAAATTAATTCATACGCAGCTGTCATCCGTACGCAAGGAAGTAAGCACAAGATGCCGAAAACCCTTAGCAGGATGCAGCGCACCCTTCATGCGACTCGCCGAATATCTCACGGCGCTTCGCGCTTGGTGATGTGAGAGCCTGGTCCGGTGAGAACCCGGCGTGCTCCGTCCCGGCTTTGTAGGGATGCGAGGTCAATGGTCTAACGACTACGGCATGCACGACTATGAGTACACCCCCCACCCCCCCCCTCGTCGTTTAACTAATAACGCACATACTTGGGAGGAGGGGGGTAGTGCGAAGGTGTAACGATTGCGGTAAAAGTCGATCGACGGATACCCTGCGAATCGGGTCCTCCTTAAAACTCTCCACCCTCAGAATTTACCCTCAACTGGGAACCTCTTGTGGTCAGGATGGGTAATTCGATGGAAGTGTCACAAGGTTCTTTGTAGGATCGACTCCAGTCCAAGAGGTGTTCTCATGACTGACACACATTGTGTTTATGGGAAAATGTCCAAGTCAGGAGAAAAAGTGTGCACCCAAGGAGATTCGAACCAGTATCCTGCCGCTGACGCCATATGCGAAGTTGTACCGATTCAGGTAAAAGTCAATCAACGGATACCCTGCTAATCGGGTTCTCCTTAACAGTAGTGGGAGAGGGGGGAAAGAGCGAAGGATAGAAAGAGCTGTGGGGTGTTTCTTATTCGACACACTCTCCCCGTAACCAACCCTTCCTTTTTGATGTAGTAGGGCAGCGGTCGCCGCTGTTTCTTTTTGAGACATTCTTATGGTGTGACCCAGCGTGAGCCATGTTTCTTAATTAACCCTATTCTCTTAGTTTTCGTGGAAAAATGAGCCTTTATTTCTTAAAAAATACTTCTTGATTGCGGGCGCTAACTGTACTGCATGGCCGACAATGGAAGAAGGAGGAAAGTCCAAGTAGACATATATTTATTTATCTCATTGTTGTGAAACAAAAAATAACACGAGCGAATTTCAGCGTCGCACCGAGGAACACTAAAGCTACCCTGATGGCTTTTCCCTCCACATATCGCGAAGAGCTCCCTGAACCTCCATCCGCGGCTTGGCTCTACGGCTCTGTTGAGTGTCATTAGTAAACGAATGAACGGTCTTCGAAAGAACGTACGCATCTCACGGTGCTCGCCATCCCTTCCCTTCGCGTACAAATAGGATCGAACGTCCTCCAAGCGAGATACAACTTCGCCCTCGGTGAGGGACGAGGTTGTGCACGACTTTTTTTTTTGCGGCTTCACCGCCGGTAGATGGGAGGAATATGTTCATACCAACACCCTTTTACAGCTGCAGCAGCAGACCGCTCGCTACTTCTGCTGTCTGTGCGTCGCTACTTCTGCACTCACTGCTGTGTGGCGCGTGGTTCGTGCAAAAAGAGCGGCCCGCAGAACACAGAAAAGGGGGGTATGCGGAAGAAAAAATGAGAGCACCCCATTATCGTACATTCTGGCAGCCCCCCTGGTGCTCAGCAAAAACTTTTCCTTAACGCGGGCGGGAATTTTCCTTAACGCGAGCGTCCTTAAAGTGGGGTCGACTGTACCCTTCCTTATATATATCTTATCATGCCGCGTTTAGTGGGCCATGTCACGCTAAGGGTCGAAAATGGTAAGCTGGCTTGCTCTCGGGCTATGTAAACCTCACGCAAATCAATTTCACTCTCTGTTTGCACACTGGACACGTGGGGTTGGGCTCCAGGATAACCTGCAGAGCACAGCTGCCGCAGATACTACCGTGTGCCTTCAACCCATGTACAAAGAGAAAGTCCGCAACGTTCTCCGTGCAAATCTTGCAGGCGACATCGCCCTCTGCAGCAACTCTCGTGTGCTGATCCACATACACATACATGCGAGTTCACCTCGCGGCGCGCACTTGCGTTCTACGAAAGGCCTGAGAGCCTTGTCTCTTGAATGTGCTTGATCGTCTTCATCTTCTTCATATCTTCCGTCACAATGTCTATCTTGGCCGGGCAGGCGGAAGACTTCTTGAGAATGAGCAACAAGGTATACAGCCTCAGCAAGAGTGCATCCTTCGGTTTGTTGTGTGTTGTGCGGAGGATCCTGTTTGTTCGTCTTCAAGGCAGGATGATATTCACCACATCCCGTTGGACTGTGGGTATACCTCGAATGGGTAGTCTTTCTGTGCGTGTATATATTTTTTCTATATATTTGAGCACAATCATATCTCTTCGTTGCTTCGTGCCAGAGTTCGCCGCTTTTCGCCAGAGTCTCGGCGATAGTTGTTGTTGTTGTTTCTCACATTAGCTCTATAGTCCACAAAAAATGGGGAGCCCGTGGTCTCAAAACCCGGCACATACGACGCCGCGGGGAAACAAAACAAAAATAGGGTAGAAACCACTCAGGCAAAGAAAACAGAATGATAGAAAGAAAATATCAGGCACCGCACCGAGCGTTCGAGAAAAGAGCCCTCGGAAACCGATCACAATAAAACACAAATAACGATAGAAAGGAGGACGCTTCCCACACCCGCCCAAAGAAAAAATCAAAGGGTAACGTGCCAGCTCCAGGCACTACGCACCAGGGCATGGGAGTAACGGAGCAAACCGGACAAAGAGCGCCAGATGGGCAGACAGCCAGATGTACAAAAACAAAGCAACAGAAAAAACGACTGCAAGGTACTCAACACAGCAGAGTAGACTAGGCAAGGAGGACATAACAAATAGAAACACATCACAGAGGCCGAAGGCAATAAAAAGGACATACATAAAGGAGTATAGCATACAGCAGGGAGGGAAACAGGGCGCAACAACATCAGCCGGGTACATAGTTCGCCACAAGTGCTGTCTCGGCCGCCCTAATCGCTTCTACAGCAGTGCCCGGTCGCCGTTTCTTCCCCCCCACCGCCGCTTCCCCGACTCCCTTTCTCTTCGGTCCTGAGATGGCCGTAATCTCTGCTTCTGCTTCCCTCTCGCGCTGGCGCTTCGCGAACGCTTCCGCCTCCTGCCTGTGCCATTTCCTCCTGAGCCATGCCGCCCCGTCCTCGACCTTGTTGTACCACACCTCCGGGCCGGTCCTTGGCGCTCTCTTTCCATTTCCCCCCTTCCTTTTCGTCTCCCATGNATCTCTGCTTCTGCTTCCCTCTCGCGCTGGCGCTTCGCGAACGCTTCCGCCTCCTGCCTGTGCCATTTCCTCCTGAGCCATGCCGCCCCGTCCTCGACCTTGTTGTACCACACCTCCGGGCCGGTCCTTGGCGCTCTCTTTCCATTTCCCCCCTTCCTTTTCGTCTCCCATGTTGAAGGCCACGAGGTCCTCTCCTAGACGAGACACCCAGTCGCTCTCCTGCCCGCCCCGGTATCCCACGCCCCCCGCCATCGCTCCTAACAGCATGCGCTTGGGGAGGCGGTTGTCCTCCATGCGCATAACGAGGCGAAACACAGTCTCCGTTTGTTTGCGCACGGTGGCCTCGATGGCTTCCCCGCAGCCTGCCTGGATGAGGGCCTGGGCATAGGACAGGGGGCGGTCTGAGCGTTTCCGCTTGCTCCAGCCGATGCACCGTGTGAGGAACTGGCGGTGGGTCCCATTGAGCTTCGTGTAGTGCTCCGCTGTTAGGCTCCACGAGGCGCACCCATACAGGAGAGTCTCCACCACTTCAGCCTGGAGTAGTAGCCGGATCTTGAGCTGGCGGTCGGCCCGTCGCCTGTCGTACATCGAAGCACTGTTCCGGCGGTAGCACTTCCACGCTCGGCAGCTGCGGCTCGTGATCTCCCGGTCGGCCTTCCCGTCCGCGGAGATGGTACGTCCGAGGTACACAAACCGATCTGTCTGCTTGTACGTCTGGCCGGCGGCGCTGACCGTGAACAGACGTTCCTCGATCCCTTTCGGCAGCATGCATGCACATGATCTTCGTCTTTGGCTCCGATACCGTCAGTCGGAACAGGCCGGCCACGCGCACGATGACCGACATCATCTTCTCGAGACTCTCCGGCGAGCGCGA